CTTAAGGTAATCCCCCATAATCTTTTGGGACAAAAGAAGTTATCACTGATCCTTTTTCCAAGGATGAATGTTGATTGGTTAAGGCTAATAATTCCTTAAGTGCACCTTTGATTCTATAGCAATAAGTTTTGAAATAGCTTTGTAGAACACATTGTAGCATGAAATAGGCCTAAACTCCCCCATACATGATGCATTAGGAGTTTTAGGAACCAATGTGATGATGGTGGCATTGAACTCCTTCAACATGATCCCATTAGAAAATAATTCTTTTATGGCAGCTATGATGTCCCCTCCACTAACTGGCCAAGCTTTCTTGTAGAAATAGGCATTGAAACCATTTGGTCCAAGTCCCTTGTGGTCATTAAAAAGAAGAAGACTTCCTTTGTCTCATCTGTAGTAACATCCCTAACCATATCAAAAGCTTTTTTTTCTGATAACTTCTCTGTAGCACAATGGTCTCTAGTAATCTACTCCTATCCTGTGAGTTTAATAGGACTCTTGGTTCTTAGTAGTTGTTCGTAAAAAGAAATAGCCTCCTTCTTAACTGCCCTTTCTCCCTCATAAGCTCACCATTTTTTGTGTGCAAGGATAAAATCTTCTTTCTATTCCTTTGCTTTGTTATGGTTTTGAAGAAGTAACTTGTGTTTTTGACACCTTCTTTAAACCACAAACCCCTGGACTTCTATTTAAGGAAAGATTCCTCATTTCTAGCAGCTATTGAGTAGTAGCAAGAAGTTGTCTCTCCTCAAGTCTCAGAGTATTGTTTAGTGGATCAGTAACTAACCCGCTCTGGCAGTTTTCCAAGGCCTCTATTGCTTCCCTTGCCCTATCTGAAATATCACCAAGCTCCCAGCTCTTTACCTTGAATGATTCCTTAAGTGTCTTCAATTTGCAGCAACACCCTGGTATTGTTGAGTTCCCTGGAAGGGTTCCCTTCAAATTTTTTCAACCATAGGTAAAAAGTCTAGCCTCTCAGCCATGAAGTTAAAGAACTTGACAGGACTCCTTTTTCTTCTTTCTTGACCAATCTTAAGTAAAGTAGACATTATCCGACATTCCTGGTGGCAAAAAAATAGCTTCTAATTGTTGAAATCTGATATTACATTCTTCATTCACCAGCACCCTATCCAATTTCCTTACAATACACCATGCTTCAATTCTGCTACCATTCCATGTAAATAGGCAACTAGAGAACTTAAGATCCACTAATTTAGCACGTTGAAGACAATCATCAAAGTCTTCATTGGATTGGCACCATCTGCCAGAGCAACCATTGATTCTTAAGTATGTCTAATAGCATTAAGTTCCCTAGCATTGTCCAGGGTGAAGAGGCAAACATTCCAGCATGATAAACCAGATTCCCCCAAAGATGTCTTCTATCTTGTTCCCATTAGATCCACACACAGAAAGCATAAAAGAAGTCATTTGTCTCCAAGTGATGAACAAAACAATGAATAATTTGCTCAATTGCAGAGATTTTATTCACTTTCAAAGTATGAGGGTTCCACCCAACCCAAATCCTTCCTTTGTTGCAATTGTAATTGTCCACATGCTCCCATTGTCCAAAACATTTCTCATAGCCGCATCCTTATTAATACTTCTAATCTTGGTCTCACACCAGACTTAATAAGTCCAAGTGTTGATCGCTGATCAATTTCCTAACTTCTCCCTGCTTCTAGGGTTTTTATTCAACCCTCTCACATTCCAACAAGAAACTTTGACATAATAATAGAGATTTTTGGTTTTGAGTGCTTCAACACGTTTCATTTCCCCTGTTTATTGCCTTTTTTTTTTACCTTCTTCTTTTTATGTTTCCCCCTCAAGCATATTCTCAACCTATGGTTTATGCCCAATGGATTCAACCTCCATCACTTGTCTCTTGTTAATAGCCACATTTCCCACTATTAATACAGGGACTGGGGATAAATCCACAACAATTTCATCCTCCTTCGATATTAAGCTTTCACAATTTTTTAGGGGACTGAATTGGCTTAGAAAACTGCTTATGTATGATTTTTATCACTTACAATAATAGCAATGACAATGTTAGTAGTTACTTGGGTTCATCTTGTGGTCTCTTTTGGACCTGGTTGGTAATTGACTTGATGGCACTATTGCTATTAGCACCATATTTTCCCACTTGGGTAAGTTTTTCCTAGGTTGTGGAACCTCCATGGATCCTCCCACATCCCTCAATGGGGTTATATTGGCTTTCCCTGGTCCTTGCTACTAGTGGCATTCATGTTTGACTTTTTTTTAGAAGAGTGACTTGCTCCTATTTGTGGGCACAACCTTCTTTGTGACCAACACTTTACAAGATTGACAAACACTAGGCTTCCATTAATACTCTACCTTTATTTCCCGTCTCTGTTTTGTCTTCCATATCCATCCTCAAATCAAATGCCTCCACAAGATTGGCACTTGCACTCATCTCAATGCAAATCCTTGCAAAGTTAAGCCTTTTTTTGTTGGTAGTCAATGTGTCAGCATATAAAGGGGTCCCAACTACACTAGCAATATGGCTAAGACCATCCACACTCTAGAATTACAATGGTAAATTGTATAACTTACCCAAAATGGTATGGTGCAGTGATCCTCTTTGGTAAATAACAGATCAGTGGTCCATTTTTTCAAGATGAGTGTCCTCTCTAAGAATAACCAAGGGCTAGCCTCAAACACCTTAGTTCGAGATTCATCATCCATGAACTTAAAATAGTAAAATCCATTTCCATTTGCAAGAACCTTCAGCAACCCATCCTATCCCAAACCTTGTGAGCAATGAAGCTAAATGTGGAATAGGCAACTTTCTCTCTATAAAATACCCTACAAGGTAGTTTTGCCACTCAAGACATCCCTATTTTCCGATTTCTAATGGTGGCTTGACAACAATTCTATCATTTTCTTTGCAAGGTTTGAAATACTTTAACCTCATGATTTGTTGTCCCCCCCCCCCCATTAGCTGGGTTCCCTTCTTGAGGGTTACTTACTTTGCCTGCCTTCGCAACTTGGGTACAAGACAACTTGGGTGGACCTTGTCTCTGTTGACTGTTATTCACTGGCGCTAATTCCCCTTTGAGTAGGTCCGACTGAGCTGTGGCTTTGGGTTTCCCTTTGCTAATAGAATTCGGTGTTTTACCCTCAACTTCATTAACTTGGTTGTGGTTATCCCTTTTTGTTTTCCTATATGCCCTTGGCCCGCCGTAATTGCTTCTTCAACAAACATCAAAGAAGGGTTAATGTCTTGGTTTTTATTTGGATTTGCTGACTCGTTGAATGATTCCATCAGAAAAGTGAGCTAACAAATGGGTTAGTTAAGGGTGTGAGTAATGGAGGGGAAATGGTTGGGTAAGGCATTAATGCAAAATGGGTGTCAGATCGAAAGATTTGGGTAGAGATCTAGAAGTGGGGAAGTAATTGAGAAAGGGTTTTAGTGTTTGAGTTGGTTGATTTTAGGATTATGATGTCAAAGGTGAGAAAGTAATTGTGGGATGAAAGGGTTTGGTTGTATCGTAGCTGCCAAAACAAAAAGGATAGGGCAAGATGAGAGGTTATGAAGATAGGTGGGCACCGAAAGAAGAAGATAGGGTATTCGGTGAAGACGAGACAAGAGATGGGAGCAAGGAGATATCAACAATGGTGATTTTGGTTCAAGGTGGGAGAGACAGACAAAATAGAGGACCCATTTCTATTATTTGCTTGAATGGAAGTTGGTGTTGGAGGAAATGGAAGTGTGGACATGGAAGAGGGACTTGGTTTCACTGTTCCAAGAGCTCATCCTCTGCTCTATGTTCCAGTGGCTAGGCTCAATCCATTTCAGTCAAAGTAGCCTTCTGTAGAATCAAATGTATTTAGGTGCAAATGTTGCACTTTCTTAAATTGTTGTGTGCATTGAATGCACAGTGAGTTTTTACTTTCTTTCAACATCTTTATTACTTCATCAATGTGAGTCATAGTGTTTTTTTTTAAATTTGGGTGAAAACTTATTTAAGAATTAATCAAGGATTTTTTTACAATTAATGGTTAATAAAGAGGATAATTGTAATATGATATATATATATATATATATATATATATATATATATATATATATATATATATATATATATATATATATATATATATATTGTTGTTTTTCCTTTTTGGTGAAAAGAAAGCAATGAAATAAAAAAAAATTTATTTTATGGATTTGGAATCAATGTTCTCATATTATTTGGTTTTGAATCACTGTTCTCCTATTTTTACAACTTTGTATTCAGATTATATAAACTTTTCCATAAAAAAAAACAAAAAACAAAAAAAAATTCTATTAGAAGAAATTCATAGACCGACCATTAGGACCACTATCAAAAATAATTGTAAACACAACACTCTCCTCTCCCATAATTTGTAACTTCTCAATAGGTGCAAATGTGACACTTTCTTAAACTGTTGTATGCATTGAATGCACAGTGGGTCCTTCCTTTCTTTCTTCACATTTATTATTCATTTACATTTCATTAGAAATTTAACATACATTAATTCAAGTCTAGATGTATAACTTGTTTTTATCTCTGTAGAAAAAAATTGTACACATAATTGTTTCCTCTCCTGTTATTTGCAATCTCTCAACAGGTACAAATGTGGCAATATCTTAAATTGTTGTATGCACTGAATGCACAGTAAGTCCTTAATTTCTTTCTATACCCATATCACTCATTCACATTTTATCATAAATTTGACGTACATTAATTTGGTAAGTTTGCCTGTAATAAGTTGTTTTTATCTCTATAGAAAAAAAAACCTTGACTGCAGGATGATTACATGAGTCTGGTCCATCCTTTCAATATTCTTATTATTCGAGTATGATTGGATTATCGACCCTGATTTGGGGAGATTGGAACTGTAGAATGAGGACCTTAATTTATTTTTTTGACTTTCTCGGTAGTAGACTACTCATGGTACATTGGTGTAAAACCCGTTTCCATGTAGTGAGTCTCACCGGGATTTATGGTCGGATTCAAATCCCAGAGAAAAAATCAGAGAGAGAGCATCAATACCAGTTGTGAGGGATATGTGCACAAGACTAACCAGTAAACTTTCGAGGAAAGGAAAAAAGATGAAAGAAAGAGAGGAATCTTATCAGTAGTGTTTAAAGAAAGTCCATAAGGTATTCAAGCCGTAATGTTGTTGTGAAGCGCAACTTCGGAAGTGTTCCATTAATCAGAATGACATTTCTCTGATTAAAAACAACCAGTCAGTATTACCCAAGTTTTCTCTGAAAGAACTCTCTTCTAATTGTAAAATGCTGGAAACCATAAACTTAGATAAAAAAAACTGCTGGAAAACCTAAAGAAAATGAGCAAAGGATACACTCAGGACAAAATATTCAAATCCCCAAAGAATCATTGAAATATGAAAAATGCACGGATATCCAAAAAGATGCCTTCTTTTTTTTTTTTTTTTGGATTAATTTCACTTTTAGTCTTAAAAGAAAGTATTTTTTATCAGTTTAATTTTCATTGTATCAATTTGATCAATTTTATTTCTAAAATATTCAATTCGTGTCATTTTAGTCTCTACATAGACGGACCGTCAAGTTTTAGGACAAAAGTGACTGTATGTCATTTTTTTAGATGGTATCATGTGTTCAACACGTGATCATTCTGTTAAAAAAAATCGTTAGCAATTTTGATATTGTTTATTTGAGGAATCATATAGAAACATATTTAATATTTCAAAGACCAAAATGAGACATTTTATACTTTGGGGACCTTTAATATAATTAACCCTAAAACAAATGAGTTGTAGTCTACAATAGTATGTTGTGAACAAAATATATTTGTGATTACATTTTCAGCATTTACTGTCAAGCTTGTCTCAGAATTGAGCTCTTCTCATCATATATTTGTATTCTGCATATATAGTAATTGTTCAATAGTTGGATGTTGAACATTCTTAAGCAACAATAACTTGAGAGTGAAGTTGGTACATTGCGCGATCTTTTCATTTTAAGTAAACAATCTATTGTTAAATCCATCCGAGGAGCTAATTCAAGAAATAAATGATTTTTTTTCTCTAGTTGTTTTGAATTGTATATTTTGTTCTCTTAAATACATATTTTTTTAATATATTTAAATTTATAATAAATTTATTTTTTTTAAAGGATTCACGTGCAATGCATGTGTTGAAAATCGTATAGCATATTGCAGGAGCGTGGGATTAAAGACATAGCTTATGCAATTTAATCCCAAAATCGTTTGAGAATGTTTCACGTAATTTGGAATCCAAATCAACATCTTTTCTTTAATTGCTCGAGTAGTATGATGTTGTTACATATGACGAATTAACACCAGGTTTTTCACAGCACAAAAGCCTTACAAATGTTATGTAGGGAGAGAGAGAGAAAAAAAGTAGGAGAGTTTTAACGTTAGATGAATTATCAGAGGTGTGTCATCTATTGGATTGCCTTGGGTTTATATAGGCAACTAATAGGTCTCATTAAGAGACACATCCTATAGGGACGTATCTGTTAATATTTAACAAACACGTATTTTGGGTGGAAAAGGATACCTCCAAAAAACATGTCCCTTTGGGCATTCTTTAATTTGGGTCGACCCACCATGGGTACCCCGGTTCAAGTCCATGACCCAACCAATATCTAACATCTTCCACTCACACGTGGTGGGTACAACAGTGTCATCTCTCTCAATCCATTATATACATCAACATCAATTCATGCAGGCTAATGGATCGTGCAACCGCTGAGCGCACTTGCAATTTAGGAGCTCTACACTAGAAACTCTATAGAGCCAACATAGAGACATCAACCCTAAAAAAAATAAAAATTGTGGCTCTACTCTAAACCTATTCAGATACACCGGTTCAAGCTT